CCAGTTCCACAACTTACTTTAACCGAAGTTTAACTCGTTAATGGAAAATTCACATTACGTCTGATGTCCGATGTATCCAATCGGACGTCATACATTGTACATCAAATGCAATGTGAATCCTCCATTAACGAGTTAAACTCCGGTTAAAGTAAGTTGTGGAATCGGGCCTTAGACAAAAAGCGTGGTCTCCATCTCCACTCTCCATATCCACTCTCCATGTCTCCATGCAGACCCACATGAGAGTCAACGAATAATTTCCGTTGCGGCCTTGGTCGAGTATAGACGTGTTTTGACGCGTTGCACGTGTGTCCTTTGTTTGGACCATACTTTTTGGACTTTCTCCTCTTCTAAGAGGATTTTTGTTGTTATTTTTGTTAACGCCTTTGTATTACAACTTTTTTGTTTTTATTTTTGTTAACGCCTTTGTATTACCACTTAACGCCACTTCCGTATACATTTTACGCTGGGTTGTGGCCGTATTGACCCTCGACCGAGAGCACGTGCCATTTAAAAAAGAAGAAAAAGAAGAAGAAGAACGAATATATAAATTTATCAATAAACACGTGATTTTTTTATACAAATTGTACAGTAAGTATGGGATATAATTATAATAGCAGTAAAATATGTAATAAAGATTTTTTTAAATATATAAGCATCAATAAGTTCAGTATCTTAACACGAATTCATACTTAACCAATATTGTTATTAACCTAGTATTTTTTTTATTTTTTATATTTAAAATTAATTAATTGTTATTTTCAGATGGAGAGTTTTCCCAGAGGCGGGAAAAAACCTGCAATTAAGAGATCATCAAATACGGTAAATATATAATTTTATTCTTTGCAGTTTCTATGTGGTTTCTTCTGAATATAAAATTTATTTAAACTTATAAAGATAACGTTTACAAAGAAAGTAGTGAAAAGATGTACGAGAGTAGTGTTCTTTATTTAAAATTATTTCTTTCTATTATCCATAGTATCAAATATGTATATATATAATGTATATCTGAAACTAAAGAATTGATATAGATATATTTTAAAATTAAATTTTGCGCACTTATATAAATAAGTTTAACAGTATAATATTTTCATTTTAGTTATTTGATGAGCAATCTAAATCGAACAAGAAACATAAGACTCAGATAAAAACAACAGATAACAATATAAGTATGAAAGAAATAAATTTTATTGCTACTGCAGAACGTTTATCCAACGCAACATTACGTGAAGGAATGACAATTCTTGGCCGAATTTCGCGAGTGTCAGAATATGACTTAATTGTATCTATACCAGGTGGAATTTTAGGACGTGTAGAAGTCACAAATCTCAGCGAGTCATATACAAATCTGTTGCAAAATATAATCAGCACAAAAACCATCCAATCAAATGAATTTAAGCCTTTGCCGGATTTATATAATCCTGGTGATTATGTAGTATGTTATGTCAAAAGTATAGATCTTCAAGGAAAATGGTTGTACAGCTTATCTCTGGAGCCACAATTAATAAATCAGAATGTATATAATAGTTATCTTGTAAAAAATGCAAAGATAGTTTGCACTATTAAGAGTATAGAAGATCATGGCTATGTAGTTGACACAGGCATAGCTAATGTTAGAGCATTTCTTGCTACTGAGAACGTTGATAAAGAAAAGAAATATTGTAAGTATAACTAATTTCGCATAATGAATTAGTATTGTACAAACATATAAAGTGATTTATTAACATTATAAATTATTTAGTTCCAGGTAATCAACTTTTGTGCATAATTAAGGAAATAGAAACAGCAGATTACTCGTTTGTCATCAAATTGTCAGCTAAGAAAAGAAAGATTAATAATGTTATCGTACATGATATAGCTTCTTTAGACGTTATAACACCAGGAACAAAATTATCCCTTTGTGTGACAAAGGTACTTTCCAATGGTTTGCAAGTTACATTTGGAAAAGATAACATTGGATACATAAATCAAATATATCTAAACAATCCTCTGTCCATGTATACAGAAAATATGGAAGTGACTGGTATATTATTATATATATTACCAACTGTAAAATTGGCTTACTTTAGTCTACTAACTGACGAATCGGAAAAGGAGAGATTAAGTAAAGGCGATATTATACGAAAGGCCAAAGTTTTATACAGGGAATCCAATGGGATAATTTTAAACATATCCAAATCTGGACTACATGGTTTTGTTTCTTTACTAAAAACCAATGTCCCGTTTGCCAAAATTCCAACCGAATTTAAGCAAGGTTCTACACATAAGTGCAGGATACTCGCGTACAACTGGATAGAACATCTTTATGTCTGTACAATGGAGGATAAAATTTTAAAACAGAAATACTTTTCAGCTTCTGATCTTAACTGCGGCGATATTATTACTGTAACCATTACAGATATTGATACAAGTAATGGCTATATACATGTACAAGCAGGAAATATTTCGGGATTTGTTCCACCGATACACGTATCCGATAGTGGTTTAAGTGCATTAAATAAATTGAAAATCGGAGATAGCATCGAAGCAAGAGTCTTGCATCTCAAAACTTCTAGTTACAACACGAATGTAATGTTTACACTGAAACAATCGCTAATAAAAAGCAAACTACCAGTTTTACATGATATTCATGATGCACAATGTGGATCAAAATACCATGGTACAATCACTAAAATAGATAAGAATGGTTTGTTGGTGAGATTTTATGGAGCTATAAAAGGATGGGTACCACGCAGTGCATTAAACGGCGACACATATAATATGAATTGGAATTACTCCATTGGTCAAACTCTTACTGTATGCACTGAGTCTATAGAAAAGAATGAAAATAAAATGAAACTAAAGGTTGTTACTGAAGAACAAAAACAGCAGGCTGTGAGATTTTCTATTGGAGAAATGATCGAAGGAACAGTTACTGAATCGTCCATCAAGGGAGTATACTTGAGAATACATGGAGATGATGAAAACGTCACGACAGGCTTCTTACCAGCGGGTCATATGGCTCCATGTATCGAAATCGGCAGTTTATTGGCATCAAGATGCACTCCCGGAGATGTAATTTCAGCTTTAGTTTTCGCTACAAAGCCAGGTATAATACTATCGCGTACTTTTGTGACACAAGAACAATATAGGAGCTTTGATTTGTTAAAAGTAGGCGATTGCATTCCATGTACAATCAGAGATATATCGCAAGACGGGGTGAGAGTTGTCTTACCTATTGAAAATTACTCGAAATTGGGATTTGTATCATATAAGAACATTAACAATTTTGAGCTATTGCATGTAAATCAAATATTATTCGTGAAAATCACGGCTATCAATATGCGAGAGAAATACTTAACTCTGACAATGGCGTTGAAAGATGTATGGGATAGTCCGCTGGAGAAGGAAGTTAAAATGATGACAGCAGTGGATGTTTTGAGTTTGTACCTCAACAGATTATCGGAACTAGCAAAGAATACATTTTACGACAACAAACCCATTTCATTGGCAGTCTTGGGTCAAAAAATTACTGGCACTGTAGAGAAGATTACCAAACACGGTCTTGTGCTACGATTAGATAATCATTTGACGGGTACAGTACGCAAAGATCATTATTCCGGCGAGTTTCGAGTCGGGGACAAGGTATCTGGTACAATCTTGTGGAAGAATTACGTCCACGAACTCGTTGATGTATCATTATTACCGAGAATAATAAATGGCATTAGTTCGAAACAAAAAACACTACCAGAACTTCCCACTGGAGTCGTGCTGAGAGCTGAAATTTTAATGATTACCAAGTGGTTGATACTCGTTCTGATAAAACGCAATGGCGCAGGATATTTGGCAGTGTTACCCGTCCGCCGACACCTTAATGACATATCTCCCGATTTAACGCCTTACATGATACATGCTAGGATTCGATTGTATGTTATAATGACTGGAAATGAATCTGATATTGTTCCTGTCTGTATGCTAAAGTCTGCATTTGAAACAAAAATCTCAAAAGAAGCAACTGTAACTACGAAGAAAAAATTAAAAAGAAAGAAAATATCCGAACAACACAATGTAACACTTACAAATCCAACGGAACAAGCATCAGAGAAAGATAATAAGAAAGAATATGAAGTTGAAATCAAAGAGGAGGAAACTAGAATAAAGGATATAGATGAATATTCTGAATTGAGCAAAGATTCATCCGATGAGAGTGAGAAAGGTGAAGATAAACCAATTGCGGATAAATTACATATTCAAGAATGTGGATTTTCCTGGGACGATAAAGCAAACTTAGCTACTTCCGCTGAAACATCTAGCGATGATGAAGAGGAACCTGAGGAGGAACCTAAGCGAAAAAAGAAATTAAGCGCAGCTGAGCGTCGAGAGCAGGAACGCGAGAAAGAACGCAAGATCCGTCAGCGAGAGGAAGCTTTGGCGAGTAATAAAATGCCCAACTCGACGGATCAATTCGATAAATTAGTTTTATCGAATCCCGACAGTTCCTTAGTGTGGTTACAATATATGGCGTATCATTTGCAAGCTACAGAAATCGATAAAGCGAGAGCGATCGCGAAACGAGCTATCAAAACGATCAATTTTAGAGAAGAAAACGAACGGCTAAACGTATGGAACGCTTGGCTAAATTTAGAGTCTAGATTCGGTACTTTGGAATCTTTGAACAATGTGTTCCAGGAAGCTGTGCAAACCAATGACGCATTCAGAATATATACACACATGTTGACTGTACATGCGGATGCTGGTAAAAAGATCGAGTTAGAAAAATTGATCGACACCATGATTGGCAAGTTCAAACAAAATCCTCAAACGTGGATAAACTGCGGTGCTGCGTTATTGAAAATTGGTCTGAAAGAAAAATCGCGACACATTATGCAACGGGCAGTGCAATCGTTGCCTGCGTCTCAACGTAAGTGCACATATTGCAATATATATATATATATATATATTAATACTTTATTTTTAATTGTGCACATTTTTGTTACAGATGTGAATTTGTTGGTAAGATTTGCGAATTTGGAGAATAAATTGGGAGATAAGGAACGAGCACAGACATTATTCGAGCACATCCTGAGTTCTTATCCGAAACGTGTCGATGTATGGTCATGTTACGTAGACTGCTTAATAAAATCCGAAGACATTGATATAGCTAGGTATAGATATCTTAATACATTTCAAGCATGAAAGAAAAATAATTAACACATTATTTTAATAATATAATTTTTTTGTTTTTACACATTTACAGGAGAGTATTGGAACGAGCCTGTGTTCAAACACTTCCAGCAAGAAAAATGAAGACTTTATTTACAAAGTTTAAAAGTTTTGAGGAAAAGTATGGCACGCCCGAAGCCGTGGCACGTATAGTACAAATGGCTGCTGAGTATGTCGAGAAACAATGTAATATATAATATATAAAAACTGTCCAAAATTAAAATCTCTTGAAAAATTAGAAAAATACAAGAATATAATTATTAAAAAAGTGGCATGAATTGTAATTCTAAACAATATTAAACTTTCGAAAATTAGAAAAATAACAATATTGAAATTCCAAGATAAAATAAACTTTCGAAAATTGGAAAAGTATCATAAGAATATAATCAGATAAGAAGCGCAAATCAAAATTCTAAACTTGGCAATTATAATATTTTGTTTTTCTTTCGCCATTTACATTATAAACAAGTATTACAATTTATAAATAATCGAGATGAATTAATTGTTGCTATAATTTGGTCTAAACCTTTCTACAAATAATCAGCAGATAACTTGAAAACAAGTTACAAATAACAAGGCGAGTGAATTTTCTTAAAAAAAAATGTACAGAAAAAGTTGAATCACCAATTGACTTAATTTTTAGCTTATATTTAATCATTTATTATTTAACATAATATATGGGGCCTCTGGTGGCTCAGGGAGTAGCGCGCCTGACTCACATCCCAGAGATCTTCGGGTTCGATTTCCGACTCGACCCTGGCCGCTGGCCTGCGCTTTCCTATTTTTCCTTTCCTACCACCTCCCAAAAATAAATTCCTTCCTTCTTTCCTTCCCCCAAGAGGAACTTACATATATATACGATATTAGTCTATCTATAAACCAGTTTATGGCCGTATGGCGAGTATTCGCCGGAGCCAATCCCAAACCCAAGCAAGCAAGCAACATAATATATACATATAAGAAATTAAATTCAAATCCAAAATTTCATTTTTATTAATAACATATTTTATGATTTTAACGTCACCAAAATATATCAAATCTCAAACCTCAATTTTGCACAATTATTATTTCATCGAATAATCAACAATCATGGTATACGAATATCTAGATAAACGTATATATGATGCGCACATAATGTAATTTCGTGAGGTACATAAATACCATGGCTGCGGTCGGAAAGACACTAGAAATGTTTCGAAGCGTTTGATTAACCAATCAGAACAAAAAGAGTAAAGATCTCTTTATTCTGATTGGTTGCAAACCTATGTGTGGCGAATTCCAGTTTTTTTTTTTTTTACGTTGACATCACGACGTAATCACGTGATCATGTTCAACGCTGCAATAAGCATACAGATCTTATACATAAAAGGTCTATGGCAATAAACGTCTCGTGAATTTGCACTTTAAAATATTAGAAACTAGCTCTGTGCATACATGAATCAGCTAATAAGCAGCGTTCTTTCTGTTAATGGACAGCGATTGACATTCAATTGTTTTGCACGAAGGTTTCACATATCATCGCGAAAAATGGTTATTGCTGTAAGTATTGATTTAATTATTTTAATACACAAAATATCTACTATAGACAAGCTCTCTTGGCATTGTAATAACAATGTTGTGTAGAACTTTTCTCTTAATTAATTTTGCTTGGTTGCCTCATCATAATAATTACAGGCTGTAACATTAATCGAAAAAAAAGTAGCAAATTATGTTAATGTCAACTTATATTAAGCAAACAAAATGCATTTGTACAGTTAATAGTACATATGACACATATACATATAATACATATATATTTTATTTTAAAGTATAGATATATATAATTATTAATGAAGTTTCCCAAATTTAAGTGAATAATATTATTGAAATAGATAAATATTATTGCATTTAATATCATGGATATGACATCTCTTATTTAAGAACAAGATAATTATATCATATATATGTATGTATAAAATATTTGACTTGATACATTTATATATGACTTTTAAGGTTGGAGATAAATTGCCCAGCGTGGATCTCTTTGAGAATACACCAACAGATAAGGTGAATCTAGCGCAAGCTGCAACTGGGAAGAAAATCATTATATTTGGTGTACCAGGTGCATTCACACCTGGCTGTTCAAAAGTAAATAAATATAGATACAAATTAGTACAAAAACAAGATTGACATTTTAAATAGTATATAAAACACACACATAAAATACAAATTGTAATATCTACATGATAAATTAATAATCTTTTAGACTGATTATATGACTGAATAATTAATAACCTCAATTTTCAGACCCATCTTCCTGGTTATGTTACAAAAGCTGATGAATTAAAATCTAAAGGAATTTCAGAAATCTTTTGTATTAGTGTTAATGATCCGTTTGTTATGGCAGCTTGGGGAAAAGAACATAATGCAACAGGAAAGGTATGCTTATTTAATTGTGAAATTTATTAAATTAAGAAAATAATTGGTTATGTTTTTTTATATCATAGTTAAAATCTTATAATTGATTCTCTCTTTCTCTGTGTTCATCTGTTTTCTAAAGAAATTATTTTTATTGTTAGGTACGAATGTTAGCTGATCCTAAAGGAGATTTTACAGATGCTGTAGATCTTGGTGTAGATCTGCAGGTTTTAGGAGGCAAACGTAGCAAACGTTACTCTATGGTTGTTGATAATGGGACTGTAAAGGAACTCAATGTTGAACCAGATAATACTGGTTTGTCCTGCTCTTTGGCAGATCGCATAAAAGTTTAAAGCATGTTATCTTAATATTTTTTTCTTTCAATTCTTTTTACTTTTCTTCATTCTTTAATATTTATATTATTGTTATATCTCAGCATCTTTACAATGAAAGAACTATTGTGTGATATATTGTTATTTTTTAGTTTGAATCTTCGTAATTTGTCATTAAATTATTATTCGTTGTTAATTTGAAATACTAGAATATCAGAATACATTTCTACAATTGTTTTTTGTAATATAAATTTAGAGATGAGATACTAAGAATTACTAAAAAACTTTGCTAAGATGGTTACATACATAATAAATGCCTAATAAATACAGATAAAAATAATATAAATATTTCTAATTTCAATATTTCAAAATTTTATGTAATTATATATGTATTCTTTCTGCAATTAATGGAAAATTTTAAGTTTATGTTTTGATAACACAAAAATAGATTTTTCTTATTAAAAAGCTCTTATTTTCTGATGTTCACGATTGAAATATGACAAAAGTATAAAATAATAGATTTTTGTTCTTGCAAAATATGTTAAAAGGTTTCTTGCATTCAATAGCATTGGATGGTGTAAAGTGGTAAAATATATACTGGAAATTCTTTTTAATATCTTGTGTGTATTAGTAAATAAAAAAAAATGTATATCTTATCTACGTTTTTTTATCATTTTCAATGAAAACAGGAATAACCCTTATAAAATAGTTGATGAATATTAATAGCTATTTAATAATCCACCACAAAATCTGTGAAACTTCGCTAGATGTATCTTCCACATATACATATATATTTTACCTATATTTTGGAATACTGCCTAAGATAATCTTTCTCTTAAGCTCATATCAGACTACTAAAGTATTAAAGATTGGGATTGAAATTTGACCAATCAGAACGAAGAAATTTTAATTGCTTTTGTTCATACGACAAATATAATATCGGCCTTATACGGGGTTTAAATAAGCCGATTTTTATTTAGGCTGTGTTCCGATTCCTCATCCTAGGTGCAAGAGTCCCAACGTGCGATCATATTATCTGAGCCAATCAAAACATTGCATATGGTAGCTGGTAACCCATGATTCTTTGCGCACCGCTAGGCCGCGTTCAAAAACATCACCCATGTGTATACGAGCGTCGTTCTATCTTTGTTCAACTTTCAGTAAACAACAAAGATAGAACGACGCTCGGTGCACATGAGTGACGTTCTCGAACGCAGCCTAGCGGTGCGAATGCGAACTGAGGTTTTCTAATCTCGACCGTCGTTAGTATGTACATAGTTTGTGGTGGAAAAAAAGCTGCGGCGGCGGCGTCTGGATTTGCGTTAAATTTTATGATCTTTTACGTCTGATCCATCGGCTCGAATCTGATTTCACAGCCGTAAGTATAAGCGTGCAACGATTACATTAGCGATTCGCGCTCGTAGATACCCTGCGACGTGCGCGTGATATGTCCAAGGATAGAGAAGATTCCAAGCTCAATGTCACAGTCCACGGTCGTGTGAGTGCCAAAATGTCCAAGTGGCTGATCATGTCGCGAAAATCGTTGGTCGCGATGGCATCGATACGCGATCGTCCATCTTGATGCAATCACGCGTACGAAATAATATCCTCGCATTCTCGAAAACTTTTCCCGACGATCATGCTGATTAACTCCTAACCCTCATATGGAATTCATTGTCAGATTCCATGCTAGTTGAGATCTGAAAATGACATAGGGTAATGCGGGAAAGACTGTTTCGTATTAGAAAGAAAGAGAGGAAGAAAAAGACAGGCTTAAACTTGAACTGTTTTCTTTCTTCCTGAAACTTCTTTTTTCTTAATGAAATAGGTTTTGTTTAGAACATTTTTACTAGTTTTTGTATTCTTATGTGTGCATACATTTATATGACGAATGCATTCTGCATTCTGTATTCTGTATCTCTATACACACACACTATATATAT